TGTTCCTATAGGGAACTATAGATACATAGGGTGCTAATTCCCTTTGCATGTTTAATATGGGGCTTTAGATCTTTTCTCTTTTCTTGGAAATAATAAAGTTCAGTGGTGACTTCTTAATTTTTGTGAGTCAAGTTAGTCAATAGCTTGGTCTTCTGATTTTTCACCGTGACACATTTCAAAAAGTCCACATTTAAAAAGTCAAGAATCCATTACAAACTACAAGAAATTGTATTACATTGAAAAAAGAAGGAAAATCTCAATAGTTTACTTTTGGTCAATAGTTGACTTCTTGGTCAACTATTGACCATTTACTTTTTGACAGTTGACTCTCCCTAAGACGTATCCATCTTCAAGTCAGCAACTACTTCCACTTTTTATCTCAATTCTTATTCAAAGACTTTTCCTTGTACAAGTTTTCTTCATGGCCAAGTAAGAGGTTCATGCTATGCCATGCCATAATGCTTCATGTTGATTCCAACCTGCATCAGTATATCCTATGTTCATTAATATCAAATGCAACAAGAAGGACATCAATGCATAACCAATACCGCATATACAAGTCCAAAACAATTCAAAGAAAGCAAATTCATTCATTTCATACTACACACTAGTCAATGAAGGCTCAAGTGATAATTCGAATCCATAAGTACATTAACAGATCTTGGCATGTATGCAGTATTAGTAGCATATGCAAACCCTAGACATACAAAGACATCCCCTCAACCTTAAATGTCCAGTTCACACTTCTAGCATACAAATCAGCCAAAAAATAGAAGACGATTCACAAAATAGAGAATAAGAAAGTTCAAACCAATGGTCATACATGTTCAGAACTGAGCAAAGCAAATTGTGAGCAACTCAAATAAATTTAAGATTAATAAAAAAAGGGTTCACCATGATGCATATCAGTCAAAGAACTGCACCTAAACCTGCATAAACAATTGCAAAATTCAGTCCATATATATGCATATATCAAAACACGCACTTGTAGCCATGAACATGCCAATCATCATTCCAAATGCCAACTAAAAAATGCATCCATATGTAGTACATTGCCATCACAAACAGAATAGTCCACATACACACTATTATGCCATAACATATGCATCATATGGAAAACATAAATCACATCATGAAAAGTACATCATGCTAAATCAAATAAAAACCAAACATCAACCTCACATTGGGTTTGTAACTATTTTAATCAATCTAAAATAAAGAACCAAAAGTACACTCATCCAAACCGCACAGGCTTACAATCCTCAAGACCAGGCCATGTTCAAATGCAGATCATATGCGAGCAATATAATCAAATCATAGGATGCAGTGTATAAAGTGTGAAAACAGAGTAATGCAAGTTCAAAGTTCCAACAGTCCAACTCACAAGTGAAATTCATCTCCATTCACAAATTCCATACATAAATCCATTCCATAGATCAAGTTCCAATTTGGACCTTACCTTGACTTCAACTCTAATTCTCAATAAATAAGCATTATCATTACCTCATACATACATACATTACACAGTGCATCATCACACTTCAACACATGCAGTGACAACAAAAGTTAACCATGCATAGCACGCACATTGACCTTTTCACAAACACCTTGTATAACTTGCAAAACTGAACATAAAATAATTAACAATACAAACCTTAGCAGTCAACATCAACTAACCAACTAACACTAACAACATAACCCACATGCTAACTTCCATAACAACTCACCGTAAACCACCTCTGCCACATGGGCAGAGGTATTTACCAAAAGATCCATCCCGTTTTCCCCTCCAAGTTTCTCATTCAAATTGCAAAGTAACTTAGCATTCAAGTAAACTCATAACTAACATTCTAACTGCCCAAACCACATCCAAATGGAACAATAACAGACTTAACTACCCCTGGCACGTGGCAGAGGTCTAATTACACCCAATGCCCTTCATTTTTCAACTTAAGCCCAAACTAACCCTTAATCTCTAACAAACTTTCCCTCCACTTTCTAACCTCCTCCTAACTGATTTAATCCTACCCATCCAGTCTATAACAAACTTCACTTGATCCTATGGTTCTAATTGGATCATAAATTCTATAAAAGCCTAACACTTCTACCTTATTTCACAAGCAAACTAACCCTAAGTAAACTCTGCAAAAATCTACACCTAACCCTTCAATGGAGTAGAGCTTAAACCATTCTTCATCTTTCACGTCTCACTCTTCCATCATCACTCCCCTTTCATCTGAAACCTTCACCCCCTAATAACTAAAGTACCTACCCCAATCCTCCTTAAAGTTCCATCCTTTAATTTGAGTGATGATGTGCTAAACCTTTACCATTCAGCCCCTAACCAGATTTCACCATCATCTTCATCCCACAACAGTCATCACAACCTTTTTGGATTTTTATACTACATCTTACTCAACCTTATTCTTATTCTATCAACAAACAATAAAAGGCAACATCATCACATCGTCAAGAAGCAGAAAGAAGAAGAAGAAGATAGAAGAAGAAGAAGAGAAATAGTAAGGATCGAAGAAGAAGACTCTGAATATACAAGCACATTACCTGGATAGAATCTCCCCTATGGTTTTATTGAGCTTATAATCATCTTTAAGCCATTGCAACTCACTAGAGACACCTTTCACTCAGGTTATAGTTTCATCTCCTTCACGTTCTTTGCATTCTTTTCATACCACATGATGCGCCACTTCTTGCTATACCTATCCCCCATTCTCAATTGCGTGAATGTATGGGTGTTTGAGATTTAATTTGACCCTCTTCCAATGTTAGGGTTTTATGTTTACATATGGATTCAGAGAGGTTTAGGGTTTGAAAAGAAAAATGAAAATTTTACCAAGATAGGAGAGAGAGAATATAGTAGTTTGGTGGGAAAAATTGCGTGTTTAGGGTTCCACTACCGCCGAGGCGATTTCTGGCACGGTGGCTGAGTGATTCACGGTGAGTACGCATTGAGAGAGAATGAAAGAGAGTGAGGGATTTGATTGTGAACATATGGCCTCTTCCCCCTATGTCTTTTGACCTTGGGCCTTTGCCCATTCTTAAAATCCTTAGGCCCATTAGAGTTTCTAGCACACCCCTTTTTTGGCAGATCACCAAATAACAACAAAAATAATTGATGTTGGGCTTCTGCATGTGACCCTTGAGTGTGGTTTGGAGCTAGTACCTACCTCGGGCTTTGCACCCCCAGGGTATATGTTATTTATTTTTAATTAAATTCCCTTTCTTCTCCTTTAGTTTTTTTAAAGATTTTTTTCACATAATGACAATAGAAATAATACGAATTTAGTGGACTACATTTTGAGATTTTAGGTTGGTTTAGAGTTCGATTTATTTTTTTAACTTCTTTGGTCCATTTTATTCATTCTTTCCACATGTTAAGGCCATTATTTTGTTGCAATTTATGGTCTAATTTTTGTATGATTTTGATTCTGGATTCTTGTTACAAATTAACCCATAATCTTGCCCCATTTGCATGTATCCTTAGGTTTGTTTTTAGTTCAATTTAATTAGGTATCTTGCTCGATTAAATTGAACTAAAAATGTAACTAATTTTAGGACATTTAACAAAACCATGGCATGATCCCTTTAGGTTTTTCTCAATCTCAAAACCCTAATTTTTAGGTCCATTAACTTGGCACGATAACATCACTTCGTCCCCCTCATTTTGCATTAATCCTTTCTTTATCTTTTTGCATTTAAGACAAAAATTCTTTTTCTTGAATAAACCATAAAACACTTAAAAGCTATGATGTGAATCATACTCCATGAGCCTTAAGTGATGGAAAAGAACGAGAAGGTGTATTCCCATCTTTGTTCTGAATACCTTTAGAAACAAGACGATTGCCCTAATTGTTCAAAGTGTTCAATTCCATTCACAGACTTTAGTGTGATTCTAATCCAAAACAACTTTCTATAATTAAAGGACGAAAAAAGAATTGGTGGTGTATTCTTCCCGATTCCCCATATATCTAGATACTCGCAGTCTTGGGGGACCATCAATTATACGTCTCATAACAATCTACTTTCAACCAATCAAACATGACACCTTGTCACAGGGCTTTTCTCTTTAAACTTTTTCATAAGGATACTTTAATTACGTTATACCACAGTACGAACGTGCGCTTAGGCCTCATATGTGAACATACAAGCTATGTTAATTGCTAAAACATGAACCTTAACGTCATCCATAAAAACAACCAACAAATACATATTTTTTACCCCACAAATTCCGAGGCTCTAATTTCCATATTGCACTATGAGGATACATAGGCACATGATTCCGAAATCTTGGCTAGCACACTAATTAAAAACTAATTTTTTTTCGCTTTATCATTCATAGCAAGTAAAATCTTTAGATAACAACACCCTTAGAAACAAACAAACAAAGTGAATCCCGTTAAGTACAACAGATGTGAGGGGTGTTAATACATTCTTTTTGCATAATCGACTTCCGAACCTAAATTTGATTGCGAGATCATTTTCTTCATATTTAGGAATTTTCTCGATATTTTCTCTTTCCTTTAAAATAAATAAAATTCGATGACGACTTTGTTTTATTTTTCGTAGAACGACAATAGTTAAGTCGGTCATTAAGATGTTTCACATTTTCATTGGAGTCTCCATGTACATTTCCCGAAATTCTTATTCATTTCAATCCTTTCATATATTCCATTATTTTTCTTTTATGTGAAATATTTCTTTGTTAAATATCATAATCTAAATATAAAGTTTGTAAAAAATAAATATATAAAATAAATCTTGAAACTTATCTCAGTTCTCAATATGACTCTCTATTATCCCCCCGGGCTTTCTCCACCATGAACCTAAATTTACAAACAAACCCATCAATCCAAACCAAAATTCATCATCTTCCTCTTTCATCAAATATTCCAATTCCCCATCTCTTCACACCCCTCCTTCAAAACAACAGATTCAAATGCATTACTGCAAAAGCCACCAACGAACCAATTCCATTGCCAACCATGTCCGAAATTCTAGAATCATCAAAATCACAAAAACTCGACCTTCACCTCCAAACTCTAGGACCCTTTTTCAGAATCACAGCAAAGAGTTTGATAACAGATAGAGAGCTTGGAAAAGCTGAGGGCTTGGTAAGAACGTGGTTTGGAAGAGGTAACATTCTTCACTTGGACTCTATTAAACTCCAAAGAGAAACACTTGGTATGGAAAAATCAATCTTTGGACTTGGTTTGTATATTGGAGCTGTTGCTATTCGACATGGATATGATTCTGGTTGCAAAACTGCTCAATTGCTTGCTATCAATGATTCTGATCTTTACCATTCTAAGGTCCCCCTCTTCTTAATTATTACCAACCTTATCCAGAACTTCAATTTTTTGTTTACTGTTTGGTTATATAAACTTTGATGTTTTTTTCCTTCTAAAAACAGTTGATTAGATTCTACACAAGACTTGGGTTTAAACCTGTTTATGAAGTGACTGGCTCATCTATTGGGGATCTAACACACATGCTTGTTTGGGGAGGAGTTGGTACTCGCATGGATGCTAGTGTTGAAGAACTTATGATCAAATGGTGTAAAAGATTTAAAAAGACAAGTAAGTTATATCATTTCTCATACATGTTGCCTGAGTGTTTATGAGTGTGTGTAATGCAGGCAAGGTTGCTGCACAAGGCCTAAAGTTTGTCATGGTTAAACTGTGGCTAAATAGAACTCTGGCTAAATTGTGATTAATTATGAGGTCTATCTGTTCTTTATAGTTATCCTACATATGGCTTTCAAAAGTTTGAGTCACGGTTAAACTGCAGCTATCCTGCATAGGGCTTTCAAAAATTTGAGACGGCACTGTATGTGTGCATTTCAGTGATTATATAGCATACAAAAGAATACATTATACATATCTAGATATATCTTCTTGCAAAGGATATTCATGATTATTATCTATAACATTTATTCATTCTTTGTATTTTATTTTTGACAGTGTGATTTGCTGCTTATTCAGGTGTACGTGAAATACCAAACTAGCCTACTAAGACTCTCAAGATTACAGTTGCAATGAGGAATGAGAAGGGCTATTATTGATGTATAGTTGTATATTCTTTCATTTATCGATTGCCAAACTGCGCATATGTATATTTACAGATTCTCTGGCAAAACAGAAGGGAACTGGTAAAGATTTTGAAGGTAACTATGCTTTTCTGATTGAGAAATTGATTGTATAGATGTCATTCTTTCATAAGCAAGTTTAGTAATTTTCCTTGTGGAAAACAAATCTTGTTGTGGTTTTGGTGGAAAATTTGGTGCACAAATTCTTCAATTCTGTTGCTAGGTTAGATGGTCCACAATAAAAAACTCCTGTACAAGAAAATTCACATTCTTAGTTGGCTTAGAAGAAAGCATTTAACCTCAAAATTGAAGGGTTGGATGAATCTTTAACAAATAAATGAGGTTTGGTTATTAAACAATCCTAGATTACAAGATATGTTTTTCTCACCAATTTTAGCTCCTACATGCTTGCGAGCCAATCTGGAAAATATGTTGAACCAATTTGGTCGAGCAAAATGTGTATGTATCTGAAAATTCAGACAAAATCACTAATTTTTCATGATTTGGTTATACATATAATGCTCAAAGTTAAGGATAAGATGCACTTACTGGAGTCCGAGAAACTATGTCAATGCCATTCTTGGCATGGTTTAATGCCTGAATGACACTTAGTAAAGCCGAACGGACATCTCCCTCAGGATATACACTGGTCAGGAAATTATGCATCTCCACAACCGACTTTAAAAGATTACAAGAAAATTATAGTGGTCAGAAAATGGATGAAGATCTTAATTACATCTTTAAGATAAGTTGCAGCATGCATACATAAAATACCTGTTGTTTAGTTGAACATGCAATTTCCTTGATTACGTCTCTAAACCAATCAAAGGAGTTTTGTTCTCTTGTAACCCAATATAAATAAGCTTTTGATGGCGAACCCTTTGTTAAGCTGCATTCTCTGAGACCACTCTATTTTCAAATGCCCAAATGTGTCATTTGTTTCATAGAATAGAAGCAGAGCAATTGAATTTTAGGGAAGGCATATACTATCACACAAATCTAAGGAAAAAAAATAGTAACAACAAAAGAAGTTTACATGATCACTCTGCGACGTCTGGACACCATTAGCAACATCTTTGAGGATGCTAATGAAAGGCGTTGCTCCGATGCCAAGACCAATGAGTACTAGAATGTCATACTTTACATGGTCTTGAGAAGCAGAACCATAAGGGCCATCTATGTACAGTTTTGGACCCCCTTGTAACCCGGACAACACTGCCTGCAGAATATATTGCAGTAACAAATTTGAGACTGCAAAATTTTGAAAAGTATATGCTTCTGCGTGTTAGAAAAAATGTCATCGTTACCTCTTGGAATAGAGCATATATTTGGTAGCTCCAGTCACCAAGAGTTCTAATGTGCACACTGAGGTACTCATCTTGTGGTCCTGATGTCAAGGAAAATGGATGCCTGAAAATTTAGCCAAAAGAAATTAAAAAATAGAACATCAATCTTGATCAATCAGGCTTGTACTGTAACTGCAAAAATGCCTTTGATTAATATTACATGAAAATGGTGAAATGTCGAATATTGAAAGAATACCATTGAAAGGGCGAAATTTGGGGGCACTGAATGAATATATACATGCCACTTCTGTACTTAAAACCGTCTGGCTTTTGCATTTTGAGGTGCAAAACTTTTCCTGGATAGAGAGTAGCCTGCATGGAAAATCAAAGAAGGAAATCAGTAAAAGAAATCGGTAAATATTTGATCGAATGAAAATCTGATCATATGAAATAGAAAAGTTAAACCAGAAGTTTTTTTTGCATATTTGGAACATAAAGAAAGTTGATCAAATACCTTCATAATATCAACTTCATAAGACCCTGATCTAATGGCTCGAAAGATCCTCTCTCCGGCGTACAATAAAACTGGAAAAGCAATGTACATCCATGTCTGCATATATAGTAAGATAGATATATAGAAAATGAATTCTACACAAAATCTAACAACCACCATAATATTAGTAACATATATAATCATAACATTCTTCTGATTTAGATCAAGAAAGTAGTAAGATTATAGTAACTAGAATGGAGAGGCATACCGTTTTCTCGATCCATTTGTCGGTTAGGAACAAGAACATGGAGTGAACAATGAGCAATACATAGACAAGAACAAACAGATGGTGAGAATACCAAAAGGTGTTGTAACCAGTGACCTTTCTGAGGGACAACGGCAACACAGGCGAACGACGCCTTGGCCACTTCGTTGCAAGCGAAAATGCAATGGCCATTAAAACCACCATGCCAATCCCACTTGCCACCTCTGTTGTGGCCAATATTTCCATGTAGGTAGGTTGGTGGTAGCCAAATCCTGCAGCTATTGTTTGCCGGAAAATTGATTTGTCCGAATCACTGATTCTTGGGAAATCACATGTAAGATGTGTCCCACCGTGCAATATCACACCCACCACTATTCCTCCTGCAATAAGCTGCATATATATTCCAGAAACAAATTATCATATACTAATAAACATCTGTTAACTTAAGTCAGTTGACAGTTGTGTAGAGATATCATGTGCAAATTTCGAATCCACGACATCCAGATAGAATAATGAAAAACACACTTACCTTATGGAAGTTAATGTTGTCATTAAAAGGAACAACATAGTTAAGACGACGATCTTTGCGCAACCAAGTGATTGTATTTCTACAAACAGGAAGAAGAACAAGAGCCATATTGAACTTCAATGTTTCAGCAGCACCTTTAGCAGTTGGAAGACAATAGCCCATCACTTCAAAACCTGATCTCTTACGATACTGTTCAAATTTCCAAACAAACAAACCAAAACAACCAATCAACCAAACCATAACAACCCAACAACGTCTCCAATATGTTCTAAACAACACTTCTGTTTTCGACATTCTTTCTTGCTCTTCTTCATATTCATCACTCTCCTCTTGTATCATCATTTCTTTTAATTTCATTACTGGAGAATGTTCCTTTAATAAACTTGACTTCAATACACTCTCCATTTCACATATCTACACACATATATATTTCACCAACAATAATTATTACATTATACTTTTTTTCTTCATTAATCATTATTAATCATTATTAATATTTAATTAGTACCTCAATGTAGCCTTTGTTTTTCTTATCCACAGATTCCATTATCAAACCTGCATAATCCTCTGCTTCATCACGTGTCACCAATAGCTTATTTATGGAAGCGGTTAATAATATTGTCTGCAAAATATCATCAATTAGTATAACTTAACTAATGTTTATTGCTTGATTAGATTAAATTAAATTAAATAAAAAAACCTGTTTTATATCTGTCTCAGTAATTCTTCCATCCATGTTTCTGTTACACCTAAAGTAAAAAAAAAAGACACAAAAAATTACAAAATAATGAAAATTAATCAACTGGAGTTTATTTACTATGGATAATTTTTTTACATGTCAAAGAACATTCGCATTCTTGAGTTAAAAGAATCATCATTCATCCGTAACCAAAAACTATGCAATTCAGTTTTTGTAATATCTGATTTCCAATCCTGGCATCCTCTTAATGCTCTTAACAATTCTCTAGCCAATTCTGGTGATGATTGCATAGCTATACCTATAAAATAATAATTGAAAAAAATAAGATTAAATTAAATAGGTAGGTATATAGTAGATATGAAAAATTGTTAATTAATTAACATTAACATTACTCATAATTGAAATAAAGTAAAGTATATAGAAAAATGAATAATACAAGTTGTCTTATATAGTGGCAATTTAGTGTATGCATAGAACATGGGTAAGGTGGCTAATTAAGTGCTTTATTGATTCTTAGCGGTGCCACAAGGCAAATAGAACATACATGAAATTGACTTATCAACGACACCGTTTTTGGATTTCACAATCGTCATGAATTATTATTATGATAATAAATTAATAATAATAATTAATTTTGTAAGTATGAATTAAATGTTTGACTTAATTAATTTCATGTATTGTCACACTCACCAATGCAAAACCCGAATTCGGGCCATGATATAACCGGTTCAGGGGCGGTCCCGGTCCAAGCGACTTGGTCGAACCGGTTTTCTACATCTCTCCATTTCATTATTCCTCCGTGACCGAAAATACTATCATTGAAGAATCTCATTCCCATGCTTTCAATTGCTTCATTTTGTGCCACGTGGCGGTGGTGTGAAGCCTTGAACCCGGTTCGAACCGGAGTGAAGGAATGGATAGCATTTTGAGCGGTGTATGAAGAAGAAGAATAAGATAATGATGAAGATGAAGGTGATGATTTGAAGAGAGCTAAGAGAGAAGTTTTGGACTTGATGTGTTCTTCATCCATTGATGAGTTTTGATGAATGAAGCTTTTATGATTAAGTTATGTAATGTAATGGTGTAATGAAATTTCTTCCATGAAAAGAAAGTGATAATAGAATTTTTATTTTTTGATTAAGTAGTAGTTTAGAGATAATTGAATAATTGAATTAAAGTTTGACCCTAAAAGCAGTTAGATGTTAGCTGGAGTATGCAAAATGGATTAGTTTAAAATTGTATAGTAATACAAGAAAATGGGCATTTTCTTCCCATTCTTTTCATGAGACTATAATTTTTTTTTTTTGGAATTGAGTGGTTGAGTAAGAATAGATAAAATACAAGTTTAATGTATTATTTGTATGATTTGGTGAGAGGGTGTGGAATATGCTGTATAGTTAAGTGAAGGTAAGTAGTAGAAGTTTTGGTGGATGTTAGTCAAATTAAGTAAGAGCAGGTGTAAGGTTAACAAATCCATGGCAAAGGTTAACCGCCTGTGACATGTTACATGTGTGACTGTTTTTTGTGTGTTGTTTGGTTGATGTGTTAGGGAAAAGGTACTATAATTAGCAAAGTCACAATTTCATTTTTGTAACTGCTATATCAAAAACAGGTAAGAATGTGTGAAATTATTCTTTGCATATGCA